AACCTCTGATCTCTAGGTTCCCATCTCTGCCCGTTTTCTCTAAACTTCCGGGCATCATGGACTTTTTGGTCTCCTGCTGCCTTGATTATCTTTCTGATGATGTCTCATTTCCTTTAGTTTGGGTGTCAGTGACTTCTGATTGCACCAATGAGCCGACTCTACAGTCTTTACAGGACAGGTATTAAAATTACTACATCAAAATTACTAGATAGTCATTAACACCATTTTGCAAATCCCTTTTGATGCTCAAATCCTCTTCTACTCTGTACTCAGTCTTAAGAGCAAGTTCTTCTTCAAACCTGTGACTGGGCTACGTTCTGGCTGCTCCACATCACAGCACACCACCTGAGCCAGGTGGATGGAAGGGTGTGTCGCTGTTCCAACAGTGAAGAGATTGTCAAAATCGCAACAACCACCCGGCTGGTGCCTTTAGGATTCAAGGATTTGGTCACATGACATAATGTAGCATCAAAGCCAAATGTACATTGGATCGACTCTTATTAATCTTCTGCAGGTTATAAAAATCATAGACACACATGGAGGACCTAACAGAGGAAGAGAAATGTGAGTTTAAAAGGAACAAAATACGGTAAAGATAAGAATAGGCAGAACAGGACTTCTGAAAGAGGAGACCGAGGCCACCATAAATCCACTTCCTCAAAAAGCAATGATATATACTACTGAAATAAAATTTCCTAGAGCTCTGGAAACTAACAAAAGTTTTGCAACAATCTGAGAAGCATTTATTCAGTGAAACTACACGCTATGGTGAGAACAGCAGTTCCTGCACTGCAGTTTGATCTACACTCCAACCCTTTCCACAGATCCACAACATGCTCGAACACCAGCAATCCCACAACCGAAGTAGCTGTGAAAACCAGCAGCAACGTGATCCATACCTGGACATCACAACATAACACAGGCAAGCTGCTGAAAGCCAAAAACAAAGAGAACACCCTGTAAGCATCAAAAGATAAACAAACAAGGAATCCTCAGTAGGTGACATTTCATCAGAAAACAAGAAGTCCAAACAGCAGTAACATGACATCTTTAAAGTGCTCAAAGAAAAAACTGCCAACCAAGAACTCTATATGCAAATTAAGACATTCTCAGAGAAAAACATAATTCATTACTAGCAGATCAGCCCTCTAAGAAATACTAAAGGAAATCCTTCAGATTGATATGAAAGGACATTAGAAGTAATTCAAATCCATACCATCAAGAAAGCCCACAAAATGAGAAAGGAAATTTGTAATTCTTATATAACACCTCCATATCTTATATATGTATATATAATATATAGAATGCTTACAGTCATTAATACAAAGATAAATAATGCAATTAAATGAGCAAAGGATGTGAATGGATATTTCTCCAACACACATATGCAAATGCCCAATACATACATGACAAGATGCTCAGAATAATTATTCATTAGGAAAATGTACATCAGAACTACAGTTAGCCAGTACACTGCTGCACATCTGTAACCCTAGCTGCACATCTGTAGCCCTAGCACTCTGGGAGGCTGAGACAAGAGGATCTCAAGTTCAAGCCCAGCTTGGGTACACAGACAGACTGTCTCAAAATAAAAATTTTAAAATTGGGCTGGAGATGTAGCTCAGAATTCTCTGTGGTCAATCCTCAGGACTGCAAAATAAAACAAACAACAAAACGAAAACAATATCAACAACAACAAAACACAGAGACACGTCAAACAAAAGCACAATTAAGTACTTCCTACCCCCTAGGGTGGCTTTATTAACAAAAGACAGGTGATAAATAATGGTGAAGATGTGGAAAAAGACCTACCTCGCACAGTACTGATTGATAGAAAATATCAAACTAAGACAACCACTCTGGAAAACAGCTTGGTTTCCCAGTGTAAACACGCAGTCCCAATACGACCTAACAATTCTAATCCTAGCTATATAATCAAATGAAGTGATAACTGTCTTAGTTACTTTCCTCATCACCGGGACAAAATCCCCAACATACACAACGGAGGGGAGAGGTTTACTGTGGCTCACAGTTTGCAGAGACTTCAGTTCACAGCCTGGTGGATCAAGGACAGGGCAGCAGGGCAAGGGGGACCCAGAGGGATAGCTGCTGGCCTCACGGTGTCCGGGAAGCAGAGACTAAAGGAGGACCCGGGAGGGAGGTAAACCCCAGGGAGCCACCTCCTCCAAGCAGGCTTTCCTCCCAACAGCAGGCCTGCCGCAAACCCACGTTATCCAGTCACCTTCCAAAAGCCGCACCAAAGCGTGCGTGAGAATCCTGGAAGACGTTAGAGATAAGCTACAACACCATGTCCACATAAAACCCTGTGCAGAGATATTCATAGCCGCATTATTCAGGATAGCTGGAAAGTGAAAACGACCCAAATGTCTATCCACTTGTCAATGGATAAACTGTGGTGTATCCACATAGTGGAATATTATTTAGCAATAAAAACTAATAAAGCTCTATTACATGTTATAAAGGAATTAACCTTAAAAACATTATAATAAGAGGGGCTGGGGATTTAGCTCAGTGGCAAAAGCGCCTGCCTGGCAAGCGCAAGGTCATGAGTTTGGTTCCTGGTACCGGAGAAAAACCAAAACCAAAAAAAAAAAAAACATTATAATAAGTAAATGTTAAACACAAAAGACCCTCTGCTGCATAAACTACTTATACAAAATGTCCAGAACAGACACATTTATAAAGATGGAAAATAGATTGTTAGTTTCCTAAAATTGGGGAATGGTAGTTAGAAAATTACTGCTAATGGGTATGAGCTTTTTTGGGGGTAAAAATGTTCTAAAATTAGAAGGCATGATTGTTGTACAAAATTGTGAGTATACTAAACATCATGAACTGTACCCTTTAAATGTATGAATATTACGGTATATGAACTGTAGCTCAATAAAACTCTTAAAAAAAAGAGTAAGGGCTAAAGTAGCTTTCATAGAATCACAGTCACATACTATAACTTGCAGGAGATTTGAAAAATTTTAACTAAAAATAATTAGCTATTATGCGTGGCAGAAATAGATCGTGATTTGCTGTGTAGACTGACAACTGCTGACCTTCCCCAATTTCTTACTAAGGCATCCACAGCAGGGACAGGCACTGTGCTGTATGAAGCAGACACTTTAAAACATTCTCGAAATGGACCAAAAGTAATCTTATTTCTTGGAACCATGAAAGTAAAAACAAGATAGCTTCAGCTTAAAAAGATTAAAGTTAGGGGCCGGGGAGCTCAGTGGCACAGTGCCTGCCTGGCAAGCACAAGGTCCTGAGTCCAACTGCTGGTACCAAAGGAAAAAAAAAAAAGACTAAAATTAGCCGGGTGTGGTGGCACACGCCTGTAATCCCAACACTCAGGAGGCTGAGGCAGGAGGATTGTTGAGAGTTCAAGACCAGCCTGGGCTACAAAGTGAGCTCAAGGCCAGCCTGAACTGCATAGGGAGACCCTGTCTCAAAAAGACAGAAAAAAAAAAGTACTGATTTGGCGAGGTGTGGTGGCACATGCCTGTAATCCCAGCACTCAGAGACTGAGGCAGGAGGATTGCTGCAAGTTTGAGGCCAGCCTGGGCTACAATGAGAGTTCAAGACCCGTCTGAACTGCATAGGGAGACCCTGTCTCAAAAAAACAAAAATAATTAATTAATTGATTAATTTAAAATTTTTTAAAATAAAAAGAATAAAACTTAAAGTATAACCATTGCAGCATCGTTTAGAACTGTAAAAACCTACATGACATTTAATATTCAATAACGCCCAAGTATCCCATTTATCTATGGCAGATTACTCAGCATTTATTCAGTGAAAGTTATAATTAAGAAGTCTACAGAGCTTCTTGCATAAGTAGTAATATATGTAGAAGGGGATGCCACAAATTGCATATGTATTATGATATTAGTAGCAACTATTTAGCATTTCAGACACTGCAATAAAAGTTAACTCATTGAATCCTCACCGTAACCCTTGGAAAGAAAGGTTATTGAGGAAACTGAGGCACAGACAGGTTAAGTAACACGTCTAGATCACCAAGCTTGCAAATTCAGCATTTAAATATGGGTCATTTGATTGGTTAGGTTACAGCTTTACCATGGAGTGCACTCCTTAGCTTCACATTCATCATTTACATGGTAAATCAAAATGTATGGTGAATATTTAAGTTAAAAGGTATTTACTACAACAAAAGACACACTGCCATTAATCCCTCCCACATTACTCTCCCTCATTTCCAACAAAGTTACCCATTGGTGAAGCACTTCGAGAAGTCTTCTTTCATGAATGTGCTTCCTTGTTCAGTCACAGCTGCTTCAATATCCTAAATCATTCACAATATTTACAACAATTCACATCAAATAAAAGCACTGCAGTGCTGACACCCACCTTATTCACTGAATTTGGGGCCTGTGCGACTTCTTGCTCTTCCCTAAAGCCAAAATGACCATGAAAGGTAAATCTTTTAAAAGGATTCAGGATATTGTAGCAGCTATGACAGTGCAATTAAGTTACAAAAGATGACTTCCACAACTGCTTCAGAAAGTGGCAAGAATGATGGGATAAATGTATTCAAAATAAGGAGGAGAATTCTATGCAGGATTAATGGTAATGTGTCTTTTACCATAGTGCATTTTTTAAAAAAAATTTTAATACTCATGTACACCTGGTGCTCGAATAAAACATGTTTATGGGTTAAGCTTGGGAGTAGGAGAGAGATTTAAATACAAAAATACTCAAGATTTGCTTGTAAGATTAGTAGTAAATTTTTGTGCTGTAATTTTTAATTTTTCTAAAATCCATATGCATTTTTATCTTTATACAAACGAGGGAGCAACCACAGTCTTATATTTCTACGATTACCATCCTTTCCTAGCTCCTTCAGGACAACATATTTCATGTATATCAGGAAAGCTTAATGCAAATGCAACACCAAGGAAAAAAAAGTCACCTTGAATCTATCTTAGGGAATGCGTAGTGTGATGTATCACAGCAAGCAATTTTACCTTGAATATATCTGCAGTGTTGGGTTTAAACAGCTGGTGTTTCCCAGACCCCAAAATAATAGGACCTGAAGATCGCGCTTCTCCATAGACACAGAGGAATACTACTGCTGTGGTCCCGGCATTCACAAGATCCCCGGTGGCAACTGTCACCTTCCAGTCTCCATCTGCAAAGGAAAAAACAAGCGAATACGAAGCAATGGAAGAAAACCTGAGTCATATTACGAAAACACAGCATTGTACTTAGTCTACTTAGTTACAAATTGAAGTTGGTACAATCAAGAGATACTGAAATAATTGCTTATTATGGACCTCCTTTTTGGTAGTAACCATATGAAAAAGTTTTGGAACGACTATAGGATTTTAATTATAGAAAATAGCAATAGGCGCTTCAGAAGAAGAGGTATAACGGGCAAAACAGCTGAGTTGAAGGCATTTAATGCTATGCATTTGGCTGAAAGATTTAGGAGTTTGCTTAATGTATCTCTTTCCAGCCTTTGGTTGGGATAAACAACAAACCTGGACTAGCAGCCATCATGAGGTGAGGGCATCCCTGTATCTGCATACAAGAATAACCCTGCCAAGCTAGGGCTAGCGCTCCTAACCACATAGTGATAAGGATGCACAGGGCCTAAAAACAAACAAAAAAGCCATTATCTTTTTTCATGAAAAATTGCTAAGTCCCCTTAGAGTTGGAATAAACCAACAGCAAGGGGGGAAACGCTGTACCTGAGGAGTAGGACTGAGTGAAGGAACTTGGGGGAGGGCAGATGGAAAGCTGGATTGGAAACAGGGAAAGACAATGCATCACGTGAGCAGAATAGCTCACTGAACTTCCTGCCAGGGAGCCTGGAAGCACAGAAAGGTCGAGACAAGCAAAGCACGACAGAAAACATCTTCCTAAAAGATCTATGCATTGCTCTGTGATTGGTCTAGGTAGAAAGACAAACTGAAATAGTATTCACTGAAGTATTTCATGCACTGTGGGAAACTGCACCGTGAACCCCTCAGCGGGCGACACCTCTGGCCCTGGCTCCTCACCACGTGGTCGAGCGTAAAAGGGCCCGGCACTGCCTGCCACAGTGCAGAACAGGGCACGCATCACTGCTCACCCTGCGCTACCCTTGGGGTGGGGAGCAATTTGAAGACGTCTTCTTTACTTCCAAAGGCCCATAAGCATGTCCTGCCTTGTGGTTAAAATTTACATTCCCAAACGGTGACTAAAATACATCACCATTCCAGACACGTGAGCTTTCAGTGACTCTTCCAGGAAGATGTTATCTTTCATTTCAGTCCATAATTCTACCCCGCTCCAGCCCACGCACCCACAAACATCACCGAAGGTCTCTAGCCAGTGCAAAACCACACAAGTAAATTGTGAGCAATGTTACGTGTGATAACAAGGACAGAAATGAAGTCTCAGCTCCGGAACACCAGAACAGAAATGGATTCCAAAGGGCTGAGCTTTACTGCTTCCACCCCATAGCCAGCTTGCGCTGAGAACCACACGCTCCTTGTGGGAAAGCAGGAGTCATGCAAGTTTCGAACTACCCCACTGAGGATTCCATGATGATACCAAATCTTACAGCAGCAAACCTCACACTTGCTCTTTGAAAGCATTTCTTTCCCTTTTTTAGGTCTTCTTTCCCAATTTCTCCTTAGCCTCTTCTCTTCCACACCCAGCCTTGCTGGGGAATTTTCATCCCATGCCATGGGGGGAGAGGGACGGGCATGAATGTACAGATAGGCTTGGATATCTTGTTCACTAAAACAGAGACACATGGGAAGGACCCCTGATTCACACAGTATTTCTGCACCCCTCCCTTTTGGAATTAGCATCTCACCAGGACACAAGCCTCAATGGCAGAATAAGTAACGAAGCATGTCTACAGTTATTTCTGTTGGTTTTCACGTGTTCTTGTCTGATACTAGAAAAAAATCTTTTTCATAATTTCTAAAATAGGCTTTAAAAATCTGATCACTTAACCTCTCTAAGAATGTTCTACTATCTAAAATACAAAATAATTAAGAACACTTGTACAAAATAACACAAACATTCTGAGTCATTATTTAAATTAAAAGTTCCACTATCCTGTGAAACAGTTATTTTTAACAGGGCTAAAAATAAGTTTATAGTTTTCTATTGCTTATGTGTCAAAATTACAAGCTTTTTTGTAATTTTCTAATGTAAAACTTCTTCACCAAAAAAGAATACAAATTCAGATATTTTGTCCATACAAGCTTTTTTTTCTTTTTTTACACTATCTGTTTAACTCCAAGGACTTATATAAAAAACACTGTCATCTGTTAATCTCTTTAGAAAGTTACTTCTAATGCTCCCAAAGGAAGAAAGCAGATTCAATGTACATGAAATTTAAATGTTTATCTTACATTTATGAGTGTTCTGGCAGGTTTTCGGAAAGTTGGCTGGTTATGCAATGAACAACTGCTGACAACCTAACTTACACACTGCCCCATCTCACACTTTGTTCACTGTCTCTCAGGCTTAACATTAACAGCGATTCCATCTGAAGAAATCCTGCCGTAGAAAAAAGGAAATCTTTTGGACATTACATCCCAAAAGGCTTATTTTTCTTTTGTGTTAACAATATTATGAAGGTAGTTTAGATGCACACTACGATCTCCCAATATTCCATCATACATTGGAATTTCTCCTCAATAGCGAAGTTTAACACTTCCACTGTTACAATAACGTGTGTGCTCTGCCATCTCCATGGTCATGGAGCTAAGAATAATCAATGCAGGTAGCACTGAACTAGCAAGTCCAAAGATTCATACACTGCTATGTCAACAACTGGAATCCCATTCATAACTGTGAGCCCACTGACCTGCAGATCTCAAGCTCCCAGATTACACACAAATGTTATGTTGTACATTCAGGTGCTATTCTAAGGCATCATGTGACTCCCATGGTGAAGTAAGACTTCATGTACTCTCTAGATCTTCTCTAATGTCAAGCTTGCTATTGATTCAATAACAAGGCACAGGAAAAAGTTCTTCCTTTGAAGAGATCAAGCAAAATATGGCCTCTGGGTCAAATCTGTCATCTGTTTGGGTAAAGTTTCAATGAAACAAAGCTCTGCTCACCTGTTTATACGGTGTCCCGTGACCTTTCACACTACAGCAGCAAAGCTGAGAAGGTGCAGCAAAGACCACGGGACTCACAAAGCCTAAAATGCACATTATCTGGTCCTTTACCATCCAAGCTGACTGACTCCTCCCTGGGCCATGAACATATTCAAAAATGTCTTCTCTAGCCTGCATTAGGACATGTGCTGATTCATATTTGATATGCAAGATTTAATGGATGGATGTGGAGGTACTAAATCCCCTTGACTTTCCAGCTCATGTCACAGTCTCCAGGCATGCCCACCAATCTATACATATGGGGGCTACTTTTCAAGACACGATCCAGACAGACCAAGCACATCCTGAAGTGACACATTACCCTGTTCAAGTAAGTGCTCGCTGACATCCAACCCACTCCCTCTCTTGCGAGGTGGTCGTTTTCTTGTCTAGCAAGAGGTGCAGTCTGTTTTTCTTGTTTTGAGCCCAGTCTGCTTTGGGCCAATACAATGCAGTAAAAGTGATATTCTTCACAGTTAAGTTGACCTGGGTCTGTCAGAATACTTTCCCTTGAGCCACTACCACTTGGACCCTGGGGCCAAGCTGTGGAAACTCAAGGTATATGGAAAGGTCTCACGTAAGTCAGCAACTGCGGCAGAGCTCTGAGACTTAGGCCTGTCCAGACAGCACAGGCGAGCCATCTCTAAGCACAGTTATATCTTTCAAGGTTTGCAGCCATGGCACTATCCAGCCGAAATCACATGAGAGGCTCCGAGCAAAAAATCAGCTCGATGAGTCATGTCAGCCCATGGAAAGGTGAACAGTAATAGAAAATATTGTTTTAAGTTGCTCAATTGTGGGGTGATTTCTTACACAGCAATAGGCAACTGGAAATGCTGCGGAAAGCAGTTCACAGATTAAGGCTCCCCATTCTCTTCTTAATAAAAGCTTTCTGTCGGGAGCTTGGTTATTAGCATGTACGCAAGGGGATGTGAATGAGGCACCCCTTCCATGTAGCCCAAGAAAAGGAAAAAAGAATAGATGAAAGGGCTGCCGTGAACGGTTTCCTCTGCAGTGTTATCAGCTGGAGGTTGATTCCAGCATGGCACTAGGGAGTGACTGCACTCTGGTGAGCAAGTCTCTATGCCTAGTGAGGTGTGTAGCCCTCTCTTAGATTTAACACCTCATCTTTGCCTTATTTTGTGCATTCTGTACCGGCGCACGTGCATTTCACTTTGCGGCTCCGAAAATTAACCCTGTTGTTGGATATAGAAACATCTGCACCTAGACACATTTTCAGTTACTTGGCAACTACCCACTGAGTGCTCAGAGAAGTGAGAGAGGATGCGTGTAAATTAAGTTCTTACCATGTGACTGTTAGTGTGGCATGGGGGGGGGGGGGGGGACTGACAACAGCTGTGTTAGATCACTGCCACGCTGAGAACAAACTACCGTACAGCCATGCTTGGCCTGACAGCGAGTCAGACAGCGAACACGGTTCGGTGGTGCTTAACAGAGCAGGACCCAGGAAGATGTCGTGAAAGTGAGAAAACCCCACAGGCCTCTGAGAGCGCAACCTTCTACTCCCTGATTACAATTAAGAGTGGATTGAGACAGCCTAACAGGGCCACTACCCCTCTGTGTGAAATATTTGTACCAGGGGGAGACGCTCAGTGTTGTGGGAGAGAAAGACGGAAAACTTCAGGAAATTTGGGGGTCAAAACCCTTTACTTAACCAACTCCACGTCCACGAAAGCCCCAGGAGGGCCCCGCAGATGTGAGCTGATGAGCTTGCCATGCCCTCTGTGCTCTGTAAATAGGGGTCAGGATAAATAAAACTTGCTCTGTCATCATGTCCAGAGCAGTGTTTTAGTATTACTTACTGACCAGCATGACTGTGAAATGTTTACTGAGCTTTTCAAAAATCGTGCCAATGCCCACTCTCAAATATGTACAGCCTCTCGGCCCTCCGCTGCACGCTTCTCATACTGTGACCTCTTTGTGCCAGGATTCAGCCTCTGAAAAGCTCCTTTCCATCCAGGACTTTGCCAAAATCCTTTCGCCAAGATGCCCGCCCTCT